AATGAAATGGCTGAAGTCTTAACTGAATTCCCTCAACTTACTACTCTATTAATGGTAAAGAGGAACAGATATGCAACGTACTACGTTGGTTGCTAATACCTCTAATATGCCTGTTGCTGCTCGTGAGGCATCTGTCTATACTGGTGTCACCACTGCTGAGTATTTCCGTGATATGGGACTTAATGTTAGTATGATGGCTGATTCTACTTCTCGTTGGGCTGAGGCTTTACGTGAAATATCTGGTCGTTTGGCTGAGATGCCTGCTGATTCTGGTTATCCTGCTTATCTCGGTGCTCGTCTTGCTTCCTTCTATGAGCGTGCTGGACGTGTTAAGTGTATGGGTTCTCCTGATCGTGAGGGTGCGGTAACTATTGTTGGTGCTGTATCTCCTCCTGGTGGTGATTTCACTGATCCTGTTACCTCAGCAACTCTATCTATTGTACAAGTATTCTGGGGTCTTGATAAGAAGTTGGCTCAGAGGAAGCATTTCCCTTCCATTAACTGGAATATCTCTTTCTCAAAGTATACTCGTGCCTTGGAGCCCTTCTTCAACAAGTATGATAATGAGTATTCATCTTTACAACAAAAGGTTAAAGAGATTCTTCAGACTGAAGATGATCTACAAGAAATTGTACAATTGGTTGGTCGTGATTCACTATCTGAAGATCAGAAGTGTACTTTAGAGGTTGCTCGTATTATTCGTGAAGATTTCCTTCAACAGAATGGTTTCAGTGATTATGATTATATGTGCCCTCTAGCTAAGACTATTGGTATGATGAAATGTATCTGTCATTTCTATGATGCTGCTCAGAAATGTTTGTCTGAGAATCATGGTGATAAGGTTATTGGATGGTCACAGATATCTACTGCTTGCAAGGATGTTATCGTCGCTATTACCAATATGAAGTTCGAGATGCCTCAACATAGTGAAGAGGATTTCGCTGACTTCTTTGCTAATCTTGTTAACCAGATTGATACTGCCTTCCAGAATCTTCTAGATGAGACTAACAATACCAACTAATAATGAATAGTGCGACTACATACTACTACTATTCATGGTCTAGGATATCATCCGTGGTTCTAGTTTAGAGACGACCATTCTTTCACTAGGTGATTTTTTCCATCGTTTCACCACAATGCTGCTGTTAGATGTTGTTGAAGTTATGATATCAGTAACTGGAGTTATTGTGGGGATGAAGCAGCAG